GTTATAAACACCATGCCAACAATAAAACTAGAGCATTAAAGCAGCAGAAAACACACTGTCTATTAAAGGTATAAGGCATTAATCCACCATCTTTACTTTCAAGTACACTCATTCCTTTTGTGCATCTAAGATCCAAAAAGCTTACTCTGTAAAAAGTGTAACTTGGTCGAAGCTCCCAGCTGCTTTGCCCTGAAGTTATAGCTATATATATGACCAAGCTCAGCAGCCCCTCCTACAAATGGAATTAGAGCCAACTGAACTTTTAATTTCTCACGTGTCCTTCCTGCTGGAATTCAGGCCAGCACGGCAGAGCTCCTGGCATGGCTGTGCAGCCAACTGGTAAAGTTTGCACAGCACCAAGGGGAACCTAACCGCGAGGAAGGTCACGAGCAGAGGCCAAGGTCTCTGGCTCGAGCGTGGCTGCGCTCAGCACTTGTGTGAGGCAGAAGGGAAGAGGCTCCTCTGTACCACAGCCCTTCCAGCTCCTTCCCCCCTCACCTGTGGAAAGAAATTTTGCACTTTTTTGCTGCTAAGAACAGTTTTGCAGAGGCAGCAAATGCATAGACAATACTCAGCTTTATCCTACTTTCACAGTTATAAACACCACGCCAACAATAAAATTGAAGAAATAAAGCAGCAAAAACCAGAATTGTCTATAAAAAGCATATATTCCTCTTGCAAGCAGCACATAATCTTCTCTGAAATAGGAAGAAGGTGGTAACAGGAAGCACTCCTCACATTTCTGAGATCAGAATACATATGTTTTTAATCATTACTCCTGGCAAGCACATACTTTAAAGTGAACTTTCCATGCACACAGCCATGTTAGTAATGAAAGCAACTACAAATATTTAATCCACCAACTATACTTTCAAGTACACTAATTCCCTGTGTACATCCAAGATCCAAAAAGCTTACCTTGTACAAAGTGTAACTCCCTGTAAGCTCCCAGCAGCTTTGCCCGGAAGTTATATAGCTCAGTAGCCCCTCCTACAAAGGCTATTACAGACAATTCTCTGAAGATAAGAAACTTCTGTTTCTTAAAAAATTAACTCTGCTGGATTACTATGCACTAACAGAAAAGGAATTCCTCAGTAAGTTTACATGTAAAAAAGTAGGGCTCAATAATTCAAGATTAGTTTGAACATCTGAGGGGGTAAAAATATGATGCCTTTTATTTTCACTGTTGAGTATTCTGCTAGTTAAAAATAATCAACATAGCTGAAAGATTTCCAAGATTAAAAAATTCTTACAATGGTAACCAATTTTTTTACTTAAATATGTTCTTCTTTGTACTTCTAAAACATTGGCCCTTTACTGATCAAATAATTCAGGTTGAATCATACATAAGCTTCCTTCCCTTCTCTACCAGTGGGGCATATTCCTCCTGGACATTTATACCTGCCTAATATTGACTCATGTCTGTTA